ATAGCAAACTGTGTCTGCCTGCATTTCATTTTCAGTCATCACTTCTTTAAAAAGAGCATGGTAAACGCTCACTCAACACAAGATGAATAGGTTTCATCCACACTGGCATGCGTGCGAACAGACACACACACACACACACACACACACACACACACACACACACACACACACACACACACACACACTCCGGCCACGCACGCACAGACGTAGACTGCACATGCACGCACTGATTGAGATTGGGGTCGCCTGCGGCTCTACTCCCTGTGACCTCACCGCTGTGGTCCCCTTCTGTAGTCCGCCACTCTGCTACCGTGTGGTGAAAACTACATAAAACCACAACTTGCATACCTTCTGTCGCTCTCACTCACACACACAAACACAGCAAGCACCCCGCACACTCCCATCATCTGTCAAAATGTCTACTTGGGAATGATTCATCCCACCACACATCCACCAGGGCCATAAGACCGGCTGCTTGAAGAGATTCCTGACTGTGTTCGACAACACCTCTGTTTCACTCTCCTGATATGGTCAGAGTTAAAGGCCTGACCGCCAGCGTTTGTTTGCCTTGATTTAATGAACCACCTCGTGGATGCAATTTCTCTCAAGAGGCTTTTGGATTATCCCTCCTCAACAATTGATGTCAATTCAGTCACATTGTCAGACTGTTTAAAACCTTCTTTTTTCCTTTTTAAACTCTCTGACCTCAGTGAGAGTTCCTTCAGTCAGAAAATCCGGTCATGTGCGGTCACCCAAGAAGCCGGAGTGCGTAACCCTCCCCTCATTCACATCTGATTGAGCTCAACAAATGCTCTGAAATTTTGAGACCCCACAAAGGAAAGGTTGATGTCAAATTCTGGAAATGTTCTATTTTTTGGCGCATTTGGTCTCATTGTCTTAGATTATCTGAGCCCATGTCACTATTTCATCTCAAATGGTTTTGCAGATGTCAGATTTTTTTAAATAAACGTATGGCTGGATTGATTTATTAAAAACATTTAACAATGTTCTTGTTGCAGTAGAAAACATGTAGGTAATGTCTTGGTCATGCCCTCTTCTAGCTCATCTGCGATTAGCCAATACTGGTGTTAATACTGGTGTTGCGTCTTCCGGATTTTTTTTTTTTTCCCTCAAAGCAGCAGGTTGAATCAACCTTTTGTATTCACAGCATCTGACTGTGCCATAATGTTCTATTCAGACAAAAAGTGCAAAAGATACATACACGGGCACCTTCCTCTTTTTTTTTTTTATCAGGAACATTTTAACACATCAAGTCAGAGCAACTGTGTCTCCATATTTCATACTTAAATCTCAGCCTATGAATAATAGAAGACTCACCCTGCTCACATTCTCGTCGTATTGATTTCACATGCATTCCAAGGCTGCTGGACATATAGCATTTTCTTTGCTCTTCAGACACACACACACACACACACACACACACACACACACACACACACACACACACACACACATATATATATATATAAGTATATATACTTATATACTTGTGTGTGTGATCATATATAGATTGAACACACTAAATTGTCCCTAGGTGTGTGTGTGGGCGCGCATGGTTGTTCGTCTCTGCGTGCCCTGCG